ACATATAACGTTTTTTTTTTGCGTCTAAAGATGTTAATCTTTGTTAATATATTAGCATCTAACTATAATCTTATAGTTTTATTAGTATTAAGAACTTTTCTCTATACTTATATTTTGTTATAGATTTATACTATGAAGCAGTCTTTCCTTCTCTTCAGATAAGCTTAGTTCAATCTAGTAACCTAAACCTATGTCATATTGTATATCTTTTAAATCTATTAGCAACAGAGGTATTAAAGATATAAAACATTATTCTAGTGTAACGTAAGAACATATTAGATAACTATTATTATACTTATCTTACTTATGTTATATATAGCTTATTTAACTATGTTACTTAGGCTGTTACTAAAAAACTTAGTAGACTTAACTTTTGAAAAATAATATTATTTATATATCCTCTACCCTATTTAGTAAAGAGCTTTAAAATTTCTTAATCTTTTATTAGTTATAATACTAGCTATTTAGATATAACTATTTAAGAATATTAATTAACTATAATAAGTCTATTTGTAAGTTTATTAAATCTTTTTTTTAAGGTTAATAGTAAACGCCTAGATTAGAAAGCTTTGGTTATAATTGATAAAGTTTTAAAATTAATATATATATAGCTATCTGTAGTAAAGCTTAGTAAGTGTTTAGAGAAACACTTCTACTACAATATAATATAGTGTAATCTTATAGCGTTATATTCGCGTTTTATTATTAGCACGTCTATTATAGTAATACTGCTTAGTAGTAGATAGAGCTGACATTTATATTATAGAGTTAGTATAGTAATACACAGTTATATTAACCTATTTTAGCTGTCATCTTAAAAAAAGAGGCTATTATTAGAAAAACAAGCAAAGGAAAAGGAAAAGTAAAAGTAGTAGGGATTACGCAGTTTGAATATTAATATACAAATACTTTAGATTATTTACTAATTTAATATTATAGATTAAAGAATATTACTATATTTTGTAATCACAGCTAAGTACTTACTACCTCTGATAGCTTTTATAAACTTAAAAACAAACTAGTTATAGCTTATCTAAGCTTTTATATAGTCCTCTTTTAGATAGCTATACTATTAACTAATAATAGAATAAAAAACATTTAAGTTTCTTACTAGAATATAATAATACGTAGATGTTTTTACTTTTATATAGGCTTATATTATATATCACTATTCTAAGCAAGATAATAAATTCAATATATATAATTTAGCTAATAGAAGGAAATTAATAGTTTTTTATAAGTATTTCTTACTTTAGAGTAAAGTAATAGTTTAGAATTATAAAGCCTACGCTACTAATAGATTTAAAGAGTTTAGAATATAAATTAAGTTTATGCTATTATAACTGCACTTAACAAAAGACAAAAGCATAGTTAGATATTAATTTGCTATCAATTATAAGTATAGAGTAAAGTACCTAAACAGCTTATATCAAAAAGTTACACTAGAATAGGAGAATATAAACAAATATAGAAGCCTCTAGACGCTAAGCAAAGAAAAAAAAATAAATAGAATTATAAATATAAGTATAGATATAATAATAGTATTTATTACTTAAAGGCTTAAAGGTATAAGTATATTATTAATAACTCTAGAGTCTACTTATAAAGTCTATCTTATAAGATTCTTTAAGTATAATATTGTATCTCTCTAATATAACTTAGTAATAATAGTATTATAACACTTTATCCTTAGAAGCTTTTTATTTATTTAACTTTAATAAGCTTACTAAAGGCTACTTAAAGGCCCTCTAAAGGTCTCCTTTAAAAAGCTATAATAATAACTTATAATTAATTAAAATATATTAAAGCTTTTCACTAAACTATAAGACTATAGTATACTACTATCTTTAAGACTACTTATATCCTATAGTATTGATTTTAGTAGAATTAGTAACTAAATATATATAATATAGCTAACTAAACTAAGTTAAACTTTCTCTAAGATGTTTACGTTTATATAATATTATAAGTACTAAGTTACGTATATCTACAAAGCGCTAGCAGCGTATAATAGAATAAAGTACTATATAATAGATTAAACGATGTATTATACAGCTCTACTTTAAATTACTATAACTATACCCTACTAAAGAGATAAAACTACTTTATAGTATTAATTCATTATAGATAAAAAGTATAAAGCAAAGTAGTTAATATAGGTAATGTTATATTATTATAGTAGAATTATATTATACTCTCAAAAGTAGAAGCTTTTAGACGCTATAAATAGGAAAAAACAGTATTTAGTTAAATTTTATCTATAACAATACTATATAAAGAATATGTTTTATATATTTATCTTTAATTCTAAACAAAACTTTAGGTTCTAGTAATATATATAATATACTACTGTATAGTACTAGATTAAAGGTTCTATAAGCTAAGCGAATTTTTACTAAAACTAATTATCTTTGCAACACTATAATCTTTTATCTATCTAATAAAATCTTTAGAAAATTAAATATATAATAGAAGTTTACTAGCTCTGATACTTAAAGAAAGATGATAAGAAATATATATACAGATGTAAAAGAAGTATAGAGTTGAAGCTATAGGATTAAGAATTCCTTACAATTAGTATATAGAATTGTAATTTTATATATTATTTCTAACACTCTATACCTTCTCTCTATACTTCTTTTATACTTCTATATATATTCCTTAGCTCTATATTATAGAATTATAAAAAAACTAACTATTTATTTTTTATTTAAACTTTGTAAGATTATATCATATAAATAATATATTTTTCTTCTTCTTCAGTATAAGATTTTACTAAAGCTTAGTAAGAGAATTATTAGAAGTATAAAACCCTTATCTTATAATTTTACTTAATAACAGTTTTTATTTTAAAGTTTTTATAAGTTTTATATATTTTACTTAAATAGTTCTTTATATAATACTAGAAGTTAGTATGTAAGTGACTACTAAGTAGAGTATAGCTTAAGCTATATTCTAACCTACTAGCTACTCTAGTTACTAAGTTCTTTAACTACTATAAACACTGCTATAGCTAATTAGAGGTGTTTTTAGTTTAGTTAACTATATTTTATACTTTTATACTATATATTACCCTCTTAGAAGCCTTATAAGCAGAGTAATTTCTATTATTTAGTTATATAGCGTGTAAGCATAATATTACTATAGCAGAACTACATATATATACTCTATTAATATTACTCTAATACTAAAATCGAAGTGATATTGTAACATCATTATGAGTAGAACCACTCTCCGCGCGCTACGGTACAAAACATGGTCTCATCGGCAGCCCTGGCCCAACATCACCCTGACACAGCCAGTATCCTTGGCTCTCTCTTGTATCATCTCCGTGTGTCACCGGCAGCTTCAGTGGGGGATACGGATAGCGATCGAGAGCTCTTTTATGCACCACAGGCTTTTCACTATCTAACGATCTCCATAGCGATCTGTCCTTTCTGCTCTTCGACGGCTCTTCGCGTGGATGATCGTGCTTTGGTTGCAGCTGGTAATCCCACGCTGGCCAGTAATCCCGTTCGGGCAGCTCGACCTTCATGATGCGTAATCGCGTGGCTTTCCAGAAGGCATCAGCCAAGGGTAGAGCTGGACCTTCAAGGTGAGCGTGCCCGTAGAATTCTCTGATAGCGAACGATAAGCAGAACCTGCGGAGGTGGCCGCAGTGCTTGACGATATTGTCGAGAATTAGCTCTAGGTGGTCGAGGTTGTAGGAAGGCCTCCTGTTCTCTTGCTCGACGCAGCGCGCCTCAATGACTATCTCCAGTGAGGTAATAGATGCGAGTCGGTTGTGTGGTATAAGCTTCGGCAGGTGAGAGAGCAAAAACTGGCTCTGAATGGAGATGTAGTTATCAGAGAACAACACGTCAATGCCTTCAGCGTACGCTTGCCTGCACGACAGCAGGAAGCCCATTATGCCAATGCACCACACCTCTGGACCAGTCCTGTACGCATGGGGTCTGGTGGACCAATTCCGCTTGTGGTTTTCCATCTGCTGCATGCAATTATCATTCCATGGACCGAGCCAAGCGTATCGCATCGATGGAAGCTGCCTTGGTCCGTTCCGATTGCAGACGGTCCCTTTCCATCGCCAGGTTTCCTCTTCGTGCGCGATGTCCATATGAAGAACACGCTCACCAAAAGCCATAGTCAGAATGATACTCCGGATATCGTATGGTAATCGAAAGAAGAGGCATGTTGCTGTGTCAAAAGAAGTCGGCGTGATAGGACGTCTTGTGGAGGTAAAGAAGGGTGGCTGGTCCATAGACTGTTTTTCGCGAACTGGCCTGAACACCAAATGTGTCCTGAACCACGCGCCGAGTTTGGTCATTATTATTATTGGGGGTAAATGGAGACGCAAAGAGAGGATATTAAGACGCGGTAGATAGCTCATATACTCCACGTTGCCAAGCGGGGTAGCAGGTTTATGCAATCCGCACAAACACGACGAGCTGGGGTAGTTGTGTATGGAAGAGAGCATTAGCTGTGTTCCCCCCTGTGAACCTTGCAGCCACTGCTATGGAGTCAAACCTCGATCACTAGAGATTATCGCCTACCGTCAATATCATTCAATCTTCACGTTGCCATCGGCGTGATTCATATCAACGATGTGAACATTTTGTCACTTGACTCTGGGCGCGGGCGCTTCGAGGTTCAATCTATCTAACGGACGCTAAGCGGCGCTAGTCCCAACAAGCATCCCCCCTGAAATATTGAACTTGACCGCGCCGCACAACGCTACCACGACAACGTAGCCACTTCATGTGAACCAATTTCTTTTACTTGATTCTCGATTCTTACCTCCGCACAGTCAGACCTCGAAGGGGAAATCGTGACCGAATCGCTCATACACCAACGCAGTAGTAGTAATCTGGCCACAGATTCTGGCAATCGCTCCCTACAGCGGGGTTCCATTTGTAAAACTGGCTAAATCAAGCTGTCAGTAGGTGTTCTGCGATGAGAATTTGTCACATTTAGGGGGCGAATAGACTCGATAAAGAAGATACTCACTCCAGGCTAATGCCGGAACCAGACGCCATTGACCAGCAGAGATCGCCTGGCTGTTGCAGGTGGAACTTCACGCAGTCTTCTGTCATGCCTTCGCGAACAGGTGAAGGCGTCTGCACAGGCTGTGGAGCAGCAGTGGCAGTCGTTGCCGGCTGGGTCGATGCGATTGTTCGCGTCAGGGAAGGCGCACCTGAAGTACGCGTTGTCGGCGTGCCTGGACGACCTATACAGTACCATGCGTCCGAAACGATGCCACTGCAATCGCTGAAGACAGACGGGTTCCATTTCGCAAACTCCGCCATGCTGAAACTGCCAAACATGAGCGTGACATCGTCGCATGTATCGTCAAAGGTCGTTCGGTACCATCGCGCACAATCCGATGGGTACCCGAAAGGAATGTTGCCCTCAGTCGGTTTCATCGTCTGGTGAGCGGGTAGCGGGAGGTCACCGTCAGAGTATGCGCCAATGCAATACCAGGTGTCGAGCCAGAGGCCCAAGCAATTGCCATCCAGGGCCGGATTCCACGCCACGAATTCTTGTTGCGAGAAATAGCCGTACAAGCTGACCAGATCGTTACAGTTTTGATCGGCTGAAACCTGATGGAACACCTTGCAATTGGAGGGCATAGGTCCATGCGATGGTGTCGGCGCGAAGCTCGAATCAGCCGTAGGTAAAGTAACAGGTGTGTACTTAGTGGGCTCAGGCGGCGCGCTGAACGCAGGCTGCGCGGTCTCCCACTCGAGATTGCTATCACCTACCTGCCGTTGGACGCCAACGCACACCCAGTAACCGGCTATGAGCATTTCGCAGTCCTCTTTTGCTGCTGGGTTCCAGTCCAAGAACACATCGACAGACTTGAGGCCGAACAAATTCAACATTTGCTGACATGTGTCACCAGGGACCACGCGATGCCACGCATTGCAGATCGCTATCTGCCCCATCAGCGTCTTAGTTGGTGGCCACGTCTTTTGAGTACTTGTGGTCGACAAGTTCCATGAGGTAACGGGATGCATGATCGAGTAAGTGAAGTTGTATGAGGTAGTTGGCGTGGTAGGGACTGACGTGACAATAGCCTGGGACGTGGGCTTGGAGGAGATAGTAGTCTTCGAGGTAGATGTGGAACTGATAGCTGTGGTGGATCTAGAACTGCTTTGTCCGATTCTCACACAATATGCGGAGTCGATCCAAAAGTTGTCACGGCAGTCAGACGAAACTGCGGGATTCCATTTGAGGAACTGCTCTAAAGATATGCCATAACGCTGTGATACACTTTGGCAATTATCGTCCTTGACCACGGTGTGCCATCCATTGCAGTTCTCAGGTTGACCTGGATGAACGGAGCCGCCGGGGCTGGAGCTCTGAGCGATGGCAACTGCGAGAAATAGGCCAGCGACTAGCCAGATGGCTTTTTGGGTGTGAGGACGCATTTTGAAAGCAGAAAAGATGTCTACGCAAAAGAATGGCTGAACGAGCAGGCGAGTGGCAAGAACAGGAGCCAAAGGTCCAAAGACCGGACCCTGCCCAGGTGATTTACGGATTTGTCCGTGTATGCTGGCCTTTTGCTCTGACCGTCTGGAAAGAAACTGTTGAGGATTGAAAGAGGGCGAAAAGTTAGAGATTTTCGTAGACTATAGAAGTTGGAGAGTTGGAGGGCGTCAAAGTGGGTGACTGAGAGTCAAGATATCTAAGACATGTACCGTTTAAGCCTGACGAGCCGATTTCTGACTTCTGGGGTAGAGACGATGGTGTAAGCCAGGGCGAATGTCGCAAAGGGAGGAAGATACAGGTCGCCTCTTGGCTGCATGGTGGAGCTGTGGGATGCTGCATGATTCAATATCTAGCCTATGTCCCGAGTAGGGTTAGGTACCTAGCGCAGCCAAGACTGTCTGCAGGAACCCAGCGTGCAATTGCGATCAGGCGTCCCTCATCTTCATTTAGCACACTGTATTGCTTGCCCTGGCTCTGCGACATTGCCTAGCGCATCGCATGTGGGATGCAAGCAGGGTTTATATCACTAAGAATAACACCTTCCGTATCCGTCTGTGAAGCCCGGCACTAGTAGGGGAGTCTGGTCGATGCTTCTATAGTCTGCAGAAGGGATTTCCTTCATGGGGCGGTAAGATGAACTGACCATGTTCACTATCAACACACAGGAAGTACGTGCGATCACCAGAGGCAGTTTTTGGGTGAACGGATGGAGCGCCAAGAGCAAGAGACGGACACTGCTTTAATTCTATGTCTCTTTGTTTCTGCCTAACCATTCTAAGTCGACTCATTAGACCATTCTTCCTTTCCAGTCATAAAACACCATCAATCCGTCCTCTAGGGCTTCAGTCACACCTTGTTTCGCTCACCCATACACTCATTATACCTTAATTTCTCCATCATGCATATCTCCCCTGTCTTCATCGTCGGTCTCTTGCTGGCCAACGCTGAAGGCGTCCTTGGAGGTAGCAGATTTTGGGAGGCTAAGGCCCCGAACAAGCGGATGAAGTCCATGCCAGAATATCAACCCCTGGAGACATTCAATTCAACGTCGCCACTCATCAAGCGCGCTATGTCTATCAAGAGCCTGCCCAGCGACGTCGGGGCAAATCGCATCTGGCCTAACAAGAAGATCAAGTACTGCTTTGTCGCTGACCCAACTGCCGCATTCCGGGGCCAATGGGAATCCGCTATGCGAGCATGGGCGGCCCTCGATAGACACGGATTCACCTACGAGGAGGTCTCCCGGGAGATCTGCACCTCGCAGCCCAGCTCCCATCTACGCATCTTCTACAACAATAACGGCCGGCTGACTTCGACGGTCGGCATACCCGTTATTGATGACGCTGCAAACCAGGCTGATCCAGATAATGCCGTGATAGGGCCCTTCACGCACCTTTCCGATTTGGCAACTGTCGGTCAGGAAGATGTCGTTGCTAACATGGCCCACGAACTCGGTCACATATGGGGCTTGCACCATGGGCACCAAATTCCAGATCACTGGGAAGTGAGCGATGAAGATATCTTCGACAGCTGGAACATCAATGGTGGCAAAGAAGCGCTCTTTGCGACCAGCAAGTTTAATTGCGAGAATCTCAAAGATCACGACACTGTGAAGGAGAAAGTTCAAAAGTTAGTGGATGCCGCAGTAGGAGCCGAGAGAGACGGTCTAGAGGATGAGCAAACTCGCCTCTGCATCTCTCGGGATGTTGCCCAAAAGTACGGTTTCAGTGCTTCCGAATGGCTTCCCATGGTGAACACTGCCAGAATGGTTATAGACGAAGACTTTGATCGAGACTCAATCATGCTATACCCCTCTCGTGCAGGTGGCAAAGAGTCTGGCAGTGTTCGCGCAATCGTCATGACATACAAAGATGGCTCCGAAATCCCAAACAGAGTGACTCCCAGTATTATGGACGTGGAGCGTCTGGTGGCACTATACGGCGACCCAGCGCCCTCCACACTGCAAGTGCCGCATGTAGGGAAGGGAAGTAAGTTTTTAAACAAGTTCAAAGAACTGAGGAAGAAAGCCAGCTTTAGGCGATATGGTGATACAAAGGATGGAATCTGCCCTAGTTGAGGTGGCGCATCACATCACAAGCACGAGCGAAACCTCTCTACAAATGATTAAACGTAGTATCTTGATCCAATCCCCGCCTTGCCGCAAACATTGACTTTAATAATATGTTATGGAGCTCATGTGGATACTGCTTTCAAGCACGACGGTATCTGACCGCGGAATCGCTTCGTTGACTAATCTCAATGCGGACCACCACCCATGAAGCAACAGCAGCATATAGTTTATAATGACAACCCTAGGTCTTCAATGGCGGGGGGTGACAGTGGCGTATTGACTCCAAGTTTTGATGAAGATAAATTTATGATAGATTGAACGTCACTCAGTGCGACAACACTGCCAGTTTGCTTTTCACAACTCGGGTCTTTCACCGCATTCGAAAACTTGCTTTGGCCTGTACGTGGGCAGCTTAGGCCGCTGAATATTTTCACCAAGAGCCTCCGTGAGAGTACCGTCATCAAGGTCGATAGCCCAGACCATGGTCCTATTATGAAGTTAGCGAATGACATTCAAGACAAACCTGGGAAAGATGAGCCAAGACCAAGACTGTCGGACTTACCCTCCCAAGCAGTGCTGATGAGCAAAATTGATCTTCGATCCGAGAGTCTTGGTATCGTCAAATGATACCCACTGGTCTGAGTTCCAGGTCACAATCTTCACTGCGGCGTCCTCGTCGTACGTGACGGCAGCGCCGTTAGCGATGACCTCATTGATTTCAGCCGCCGATAGAACACCTGGTGTGCCCGTGCAGGCGCCCCCGTTAGCGCCCTCGCTAAACTCGCATCCGGCCTTCATGCAGCCTGGGTCTTTCATCGTAAAGCTGCGACCGTAGAAGCCAAGACCAAGAACAACGCGCTCTGGATTGATGTTGTTGCGCCATAAGAGCTCAAGGCCCATTTTGATCTCGGTCAGATTTGTATGTGCCTGCGCAATAGGGCCAAGGCTGTCGATGCTGGCATCCCAAACGCCGTGAATATCATATGTCATCATGTTGAACCAATCCAGATAGGGCTCCATCCCTTGGAGATTGAAGCCGCGGAGGTACCAATAGGAGGCCGGCTGCCAGAATTAGTCACGATCGAACAGCGCGGAAGCAGAGCAGAGAGGGGATGTGCCACTTACGAGAGTCAGACTAATACCATATTCTCTCCCAGACGAGTTCAAGCGCGCCCTCAGACGTCGCAAAAGGTTGACGTAATTGTCAAAGTCGGCAGGGATACCGCCTCTGTCCTCTGCCACAGGGCTAAAGCGACTGCGTCAGTCCATAACCAGAAGATGATCATAACATAGCTACTTACTACTCCCAGTCGAGGTCAACGCCATCTAAGTTATACCGCTGCATGAAGGTCAATAACGAGTCAAAAAACCTATCTTGGTTGGCCTCGCTAGCAACCATGTCAGAGAATGCTGTACGGTATGGACCAGGATCATTCATAGCCCAACCACCAACAGCGATCCAGACCTTAAGGTCGGGCTGCTTCTCCTTGAGTGCCGCGACGCGGCCGTAGCGCTGTCCCGTGCCGGGATCCATATCCTCAATGTGGAACGTGTTGGGGTTGATAAGAGCAAAGGCGAAGTTGATGTGCGTCCAATGGCCCAGTGGAATGTCCTCAGGCTCCATGTTACCGCAGGGCCGCTGGTAGTTCCAGCCTTCATAGTATCCGATAGTACGGGCGTCAGCGGTCCGCTGTGAAAGGTCGCACTGAGGATGTGGTACAGGATTCGGGCCGCAAAAGTCGACTGTCGTGCCGCAGAAGCCGTGCTTGCTGCAGCAGACGTTGAGCGGACAAGTCGTGAGGTTCGCATATTGGAGACCCCAGTTATCCCCGTCACACTCAGATTTACGTTCACAGTCGCTTGTGCATTTGGGGCCACAGAAAACGGGTCCGAAACCGCAGGCACCAGTGCCGGTGTCGTCGCTGATGGCACTGGTTAGCCGTACTGTTGATCGTATTTGTAGCTTTGTTCAACTTACAGAGGTCCGCAACATCCGAGATTACAAGGCTTTGTTGCGGTGCACGTGTAGTCGGGTGGATCCTCGTTTGCCTTGATGAGCATTTCTCGAGCCTGAGGTGTGGTTTCCTGACCGGCAACATTCTCTATGAGTAACTTGATTTCGGCCTGACCTGCAAAAGAACTCAGATCGAGTGCCTCTGTAGTTATCAAGATGCCTAAGACGAGGTATATGCACTGAGATGAAACATATTTGGTAACCATGATGATTGTAAGAAAATCTGAAGAAATTTTGTACAATGACAAACAAGATCTACCTAGGTAGCCACCTTTCGTGATGAAAAGGAAGACTGAAAAGAGATGTTAAGATGCTGCATGAGACGAGAACCCGACGATCGGAAGATGCGCGGGCAGCGAGCAGAGCGTACCTAGGTAGTTCCGACCCGTCCGTGATCGCGGATAGAACTATCACAGATGACTAGGCGAGATCCTTCCGAGCGCTTACGGGGGTAGGGGTTCAATCGACAAAGACCTCATCTCCATGTAATGTCTGCTCCTGCATGATGCATATGCCAAGGTGAACGAAGGATGAGGTTAGGTTTGCCAATGTGGATCAACAAGGGCCCTTCCGAGTCGGAGCGCCACTAACTTCCGCCCTGCATTTAACCGCCGAGTCCAGCTGGGGCTTAACCATATTCAGAACTTTCCGAGACTCACGGCTGACGCAGGTACGCCTTACGCCCCGGTACATTGCAGCAAATCTAGAAAGGCAATAAATCCCATGCGGTTCTGGGCTTGCAGGCATGTATCCGCTATGAGGCCAAGACTTTGATAGTAGGTACCTAGGTACGTTACATAGAGTTGGGTCACGTCGTGCAGTATTTCGCCTGCCTAATATGATTTAGTTTTCATACCCGCATGTGAGGGATTGGTACTTGCATTCCTTCAAAGCGACCAAAACGGCACTTTGTGGCGCACAATTGTTAGCGATATTTGTGATTCACATTTGGGCAAAACCTCTGTCACGTTGAGGCGGCAACCGTGCATCTCGACACTTGTGCGTCTGAGCATCTCCCGTAAGCTCCTTTGCTGTCTGTCTCTCTCGATCCATCGGCCAATTTTTCATACTCTGTTCTTTCATCGCTCATAACGCCGACCTTGTACAATCTATATCAACCCCATTTTACATCCATGTCGCTTATCTTAGCTCAATTAGACAAACCATCATGATGCTCAAGTTCATGATAGACCTTTTGGTTCTGATTGGCACGACAGATGGCCATATGCCGCACCATGCGCAACATGGAAGACATAGCAGGAGCGCAGGACGACATCCTCACCCAGAACTCGAAGCATCTTCCAGCTGGGTCTCTTCTCCGGCCTCGTTACCCCTCCGCAAACGAGATAGCGATCCTAGCAACATGGAATGGATCAAACGCTGGGCAGCCATCGGCGACAGCTATACAGCCGGCATTGGTGCCGGAAGACCCCTTGGCCACATGATCACCGCGGACGAGGTCGCTATAAGAGTACCTAGTGGCTTAGATGAGGTTCGCGACAACTGGAAATGTTCTAGATATGATATGGCCTATCCTAAGGTTATAGAGGCGCAGTTCGGCGCCCATGTTGAGAAGGACGGCGGCTTCCAGTACCTCGCGTGTAGCGGCGATCGTTCTGAACAGATCTATCAGCAAGCTAAGGCCTTGAAGGGCAAGCTGGATTTTGTCACTTTTACCTCAGGCGGGAACGATCTTTGTCTAGCCAAGATTATTGCAGACTGCATCATGCTCCCCTACGGAAAGACATCCGCCTGCGAAACGGTCATCGCAAAGGCCCAGGAGAATGCGAAGTCAATGATCAAAGGTAACATCAAGGAGATTTTGGAAGCGCTCGATGAGAAGATGAACAAAGACGGCATTGTCGTTGTTAACGGCTACGCGCAATTCTTCGATTCGACCACGGACAATTGCGATCACCAATCATGGGACATCTTTTGGTTCCTCCCATTAGGCATCACTTACCGTGCTCTCACTATCTCACGCCGCAACACCTTTAATCAGCTGGTCCTTGACATCAATCAGTCCATCGGCGACGCTGTCAACGAAGCTGCTAAAAGTGACAAGATTAATTATAAAGTAGGCTATGCCGGATGGGATGATTGGGTCTCTACTGTTGTCGACGCCAGGATGTGCTCGCCCAGCAGCAACGGCGACTACCCGGATCCCAAACAGCCAGACATGCACTTCATCAAGCCTGACACGCACCCCTGGGGTAGTTGGGAAGATGAATTCGAACGGCAGGAGCTGCGCAAGCGCGACATGGACCTCGAAGAATTGCTGAATTCAACTAGACTCTCTAACTCGGAAAAACGCCGGGTCAATCGCGTCAAGGCCATTATGGAGGCCCGTGATAGAAGAATAGAGCGCACACTCTACGACTCTGTGCTATACAAGTCACCCGACCCCCGCGCTGCTGTCAGACACAAGCTTGACTCCCGAGCACCCTCACCGCCGGGCTGCCCTGGGGATGGCGGCGCTGACATGACCTTGGGCATGGGTATGCCAGACCACGTTGGCCAAAATGTGAGTGTTTCCTGTGTTCGCCCAGATGACTACGCATGTACTTCCCACTAACACGCGCAGTTCCATCCAAACGTGGCCGGTCACACAACTATAGCCTCTTTCGCCCTCGCTGAACTCATGGATCTGCGCTCCATCGTTCTTGGTGTTGACTCGCCCGCATGCACTGTCACGGATGAGTTTACGTGTTTCTCAAAAACTGGTAGCAAGTTCTATGTCAGTGGCAATCGTACGAATGAGAACTATGAAGAATTTTGTAAGGAGGTAGAAGAGAAGCACTCCAAGGACTCGATTAATTGGAGTTACTCCAAGAGCTACGACCTTGGCACGCCAGAAGAACATGACTACGTCGTCAGTCTAGGGAATGGTGTCTCGGCATTCGATAAAGACCAGTGCATTGAGTCTATGAAGAAGCTCATCAATTCATGCGATACTTCCGACAACCCCATGAACTGGAAGGGCGGTGGACGTTATATTCGTGGAAGCGGAGACTACAAGTACGAGCTCAACCCCCGCCGCAGCAATCGCCCTTGGCCATGGCCTAAAAATCCTTACGGCAGATGCGAGGGCTGGTACAAGGGGACCCATGGACGCTATAAGGTTGAGGGTGCTGGCTTCGCCACCTGGGATCATGGCGGAAAGACTCTTCGGTCTAACATGGACAGTTGCTATGGACTCGGTACGACGTTTTGGAAATTCGAGTACTTTGACAACCCGGCTGATCATGATGGGCACGAATGGTACGCTACCTTCAGTACGCCAATCTGGGTTCGCGCGCGCTGTTGGAACAACAACAAGGTTGTCAAAGCCGCAGGAGGATGGACGAATGGGTGTAAGGGCAATGATTAGGAGCTTTCTCAGAGTAATTTGGTTCGTACGTAGATGAACTTAGAGGTCGCGCAGAATGAATCCCAATCACGTTCCAACACCTTTTGATGACGGATCTCATCTTGCGCAGTTCGTTGGTACATGTTTGATAGACTTGCTCATCCCTCCTCTTCACATTTTGTCACTCACAAAACACCAAATCTTTTCGACTCCCCACACGCCTTGGTCCTCATTGACGAAGCATCATGTGAAGCGATTGGAAAGTGCACCTCGCTTGTTCTCCCACATCATATGGCGAAAGTTGCATGTTCGGGATCGAAGCGGTAGCGATGGAACCATAAGTAGGGCCAAGCCTTTAATGTCTTGACAGACTTACTTACAAGCTTCTACTGATACATTAGCTTCTAGTCGGTCTATACAATTCAACGCAACCCGACCGAGCTGCCACCGCTGCCGTCGTCCAAAGACTTTCCGGGCCCACGCAAGTGCACCTTGCGTATCACCATCCTGCACTTGAACGACCCGCATGGATCCTACCCTGCCGCGGCGAACAAGCTGCCACGCAATCATGAAGGCTTTGTATGCATAGAGAAGAACCCAGGGTGCTTCGGTTTCTGGCGATGTGGTCACATCCAGGTACCGCAGAAACCAGTCGACATGTGGTTGAACTAGATCTGAGATGCGTGATTCACAAAGAAACTCACACGACGGCGCATGGTCTGTAAGCTGGTACAGTACTGCATCTATGCTCCCTTCGATGATACCACTAGTGTGTGTAGGTGACCACATTTGTAATTCAATCATCGCCGTCTCCCAGGTGATTTCACTCAGCGAAACCTGCTTTGGGTCTGAATTGTTTCCGCGTGGCCGGGCAAAAGGCTCTAGGGCAACAAGAGAGGACCTGAGTGGCTCCACTCTATCTGTGCTCAGAATACCTGTTATCGTAGACCAACCAGACACCTCTCGAGCACTGGAAATGAGGAATTGATTTATGTTGATAGTTGCATAAGGGTCGAATGGAGACAATGTAAGTAGATCCGGACTGGAAGTCAAGAATTGTTTAACCACTTCGGAGAATTGTGTTGGCGGGCCAGTCTGTCTCAGGAGTAATTGCTTGCGTGCCCATTCGCCAGAGTTTGCTGCTGTCCAATGATCTGTTGCACAAGGCAACTCCTGTTTGATTTCTAGATGCGATAATGATCGGGGGACAGAAAGTGCCTGGTACCATAAAGCATCCATCTGATGTATGGCAAAGCATGTTCGCTTATGCGTTTCGTTTTGAACGAATTGATGCCAGAGAGAGTCCAAATCTGCTGCCGCAGTCGCTTGGGCCGGTAGTGGTTGCATAAGCCCGCCCGCTCGCGCCAACATAACGATCTTTGAATGTATCTTCAGGCCATATGCTGACGATGTTCCGCAGAGATACATCATAGTCAGAACCTGCAGTAGAAGATAGGCTTGCACGGTCGTTATTCTCTGAGAATTGCCGAGCGTGTCTTGGTCGTTATTGGATTTGAGCAACGCGCGAGATTGGTGATAGCATCTTAAGGAGAGGCTAGCGCCGGATGAAGCTCTCTCTTGATCGTCCGGATCTTCGCCATATTGATACCCAAGAGCAAGCATGCCATAGAGTAGACTTTCATCAGCTCTATTGCTATCGAATGTTGGCCGATGAATGAAAGGCAGGAACGAAGACAGGTGAATGAAGAACAACTCGATACCCCGGGCAACCTGCGCTGTGGAAATATCCAAGTCATCTTGCAGTTGTGGCGATTCTCCTGGGTACCCCCCGCTGGGACTGCACAGGCTGGAAAGACCGAGGTTGTCACCCAGTGTGTTGGATTGAAGACTTTGCATATGTGTGACTTCCAGCCGTGGGTCCATCTCTGTCGCTAGAATCCTCTGCAAGGTGACGTCGATGTTGCTCACCGACTGTTCTGGTAGGAAGACGGAAGCCACACTCTTGTTTGATGTTGCGATGCCCCCAAGCTCATGATCTTTCGTAGAGTTGTGCTGCTGGCTGTGGCCATCAAGAATAGTCCGCCATGCTGTGTCAAGATCGAGGTCGCCCATCTCGTCTGGTGTGACTGACGCAAGATTGCTTTGTTGCTCGTGAACCGAGACTGGGAAGACTCCATCTGGCTGTACTCTCGACTGCTTCGTGAGCTGGCTGGCTTGCTGGTCAGGATGCTTTCTCCTGGTATGCCGCTGCCGGAGGTCTGATCTTGAAAATGTTGCTGCACAGAAGTGACAGGTGAAGGAGGCCCCTTCTCGAGTACGTGTATGGAGGGCAGCATGTCTTTTGAGGTTTTCGTGTCGTGTGAAGCGACTTTGACAGGTTTGACATTGGAAGGGCTGGAAAGATGGTTGTTCTTTGACAGGATGAGGTGCTACACCAATGGATGCCATATCGATGACGTTTGTTAGAGATTTCGGTAACAGTTAGACACGTATCATTCATTCACTTCAAGAAGTACTTGCATCCAAGGTAATTGTGCTTATCTCCCACTAGCAGGGGTATGTCCTATCGGATAGGCCCTTACGGGCATTTGGAGGCGCGTCGTTGCTCATACAATTCATCGTTCGGCAATTGGTTATATGCACTTACTAGACCCACAGCGTCGAGATGGTTCGTGGCCCTAGGGGATGCAGACGGGAAGTCATGGTCAGTGGCTTGCGAGAAGGAAGCGGGGGTGGTTGGGGAATGGCGACCTCGGCCCGATCGGCGTTTGAACAGTGGTATACCGCCGCTCCGCGACACGGGCATCGAAATCCTTATGCATCACATCAATGGCTGAACGTCATGCAATAATGTCATTACTGCCCTTGATTATCTTGGAATTGTACTTGAGACGCTAGAGTATTGACAGGTGAGGTACCCAGTCAGGGACAAGACCATACTTACGCGCGAGAGGTCGCGGTTGTCATACTCAAGTTTTCCGAACTCTATAGCAACTAATTGCTGCCATCACGGACACAACTACGACCATCATCAATTCGCTGGATGACACCCTTACCTACTACGACGATCGCCCTCAATACATCTCGTACCGCCAGTTGAGTCGTACCATCTCCTCTGTGACGCCACCTCGAATGACCTTCGCAATCTGGTCCGGATCGCAAGAGTCGAGGCGTTTGTTCTCTCGATGAACAAGCCAACGGTAGAAGGTTATGGTAGCTGCAAATGCCAACGCACAGCCTATCAGCGTACCGAAGGCCGTGTAGAACTGTGGTGGAGCGTAGTAGAGGTAGGAGACCCAAATATTGGAGGTGCCACCGATGGCATTGACTAGCGCTGACGCTGCTGCACGCTTAGCAGTTGGGCGTGCAAGATGTAGGTTGATAGTCTTGTACAGTACAAGCTGTGGTCCGACGGAGGCGAAGGGGAGGATCATCATGGAGAAGTACCTCGCACCGACATTCAACGTCGTCATGGGTATGATATACATGACACAAGCGATGGCGATACACGCAAGGATGATGCGATACGCTGCGTTCTTGCGATCAGAGTACCACATAAGTCCGTAGTAGACGATGCCTGCAAGAATGTATGGTGGGGCAGTCAGTAGAAGACTGGTGTTACCCTTGTAACCCAGAGAGGCGACCAGCGTCGGGAAGTAGTTGGCGATCGATCCTTGCGCCTGCGAGAGGAGATTACATAGAATGAGGAGCAGCAATTTTGGGTCACTAATCGCCATCTTGAAGCCCTTCAGCACACTCTCTTTCTCGGTACCCTCTGCAGCGCCCGACTCGGATTCGATGCGCCAGACTGCAAGATCACGCTGAATCGGGGAGAGTATTTTGCTATTATGTGGGAATTCTGGCATAAGAAAGGCGCAGATTCCGCCGATGCCAACCGTAGCAGAGCCTTCGATGATGACTAGAGACACGTCAGCGCTGTCAGATATATGCAGCCATTGACATTCGTCTACTTACATAGCCATTGCCATGCACGGATGCCATGCTTTCCATCGAGCTCGAAGACACCAGCAGCAAAGAGGCCACCGAATGCGTTACCGAATTGTTGCGCAATGTACAAGGCCGCAATACGCTTTCCAAGTTCAGTCTTGTTGTACCATGCTGACAAGTAGTACATGGCTCCAGGGAAGAATCTGGAACAAGGTATTGGAGTCAGCGTAGATCTTTCCAATATCTTAGTGGTTGACTCACACAGCCTCTGCCGCCCCGAGAACAGCGCGTACAGCCAACAACTGACCATACGTCTTCACAGCTGCCGTCGCAGCAGATATCGACCCCCAGATGACCACAGCCACGCAGATGTAAAGTCCAGGCCTCGAGATCTTTGCAATGATCTGCAAACATGGAGGTACGAAGTCAGTGTGTGTCTCGCATACTTTTTGTGTAGGCACAGCTTACCAAGTTGCTCGGGATCTGGAAAGGGAGGTACCCGACGAAGAGGATCGAGATCGCCGTCGCAAACTGTTGAGTTGTCATGTCAAGATCCTCCATGATACCTTGTAACTTCGCTGCAGCCAAATTTTGACGGTCGATGTAGTTCAGTATATAGAGGATACCAATGATTGGCAAGACGATGCAGTCGATTTTGCGAACAAGCTTCTGGTTGAGATCCGAGATCTCATCTTGACTTAGATTGCGAAGGGAATGGGGCATACGCTCGTTGTGAATAGTGCCTATCTCGACATCAGTATCCGCGGTCCCGACTAGGTCGAGCTTCTTCATCTCAGTCTCCATTGTCGCACAACGTGGCTTCAGATGTATTGATGAGGCCAGGAAAAATGCAACTACAGCTTGTAAAGACGCCGATGAGAGACGACCGATATCTCGTCACAATATGTCATGATTTATAGCAGCTATGGCATAGTATTGTCATTAATTGAAACTACATGACACTGAGAGGAGCACCCGAGCTGAGGTACGTTCCGAACTGGTGGGTTCCGATTATCGTGTGCTTATCTGCGTGAGAAAGTGAGATCAGGGGTAATGCTTGTATGACTCGTGGTCCCTGCATGAAGCTAGCGGGCCCGATGGGAGGAGCTCCC